TTTTTTTTTTTTTTTTTTAGTATTGAATTGGAACCTTGCAAAAGTGAAGTAGATATAACTATTGTAGATAGAATATGTGCTCTTCTTAATCCGCAACCTATTTGCGTTTGTAATCCTGTATCTAATAATAAAAATACTGTAAGTTATCAATTTTTATTATATAATTATATCAAAGTGTGTATAGTTTTCATTATTTTCTTACTATATCATTTTTAGAATCAACAAACTTTATTTTATCAAGCCATAGAAAGTCCTACCTTGTCAGATTTTGCTGCTGTTATAAACATATCCTCATCACAATGTACAATAAAATTAAGGTAATTTACACAATATATATATATATATATATATACAAAAATAAAAATATTGAATTGAATATAAAATATTTTAATAATTTAAAAATAGGTTTCCAATACCAGATTTAAGACCGTTACATGATATGAATCGGGCACCGTGGTGGAAGAGATCTGTGAGAACAGATTATATGATTTTAAAAATGACAGATGCACAAATTCATTTTTGCCCGCATTTAATTTTTTCTAAGAAAATTTTTTCCAAGAATCATCCGCATTCTGTAAAAAAGCATTTTGAAATTCAATTCCGAAAATTACTATTTTCGTATGCAGAAACGGAAACAGATATACCACTAAACATAGGCAAAGTTACAACTCACGAAAAAGATAATGCAACATGTCAACAAGATAATGAAGGATTTGGTTGGGCTAGAATAGTTATTACAATTTATCCACAACGTTTGAACGATCAACTAGAAGATAGTTCTGAAGGAGAGCCTGATTCTAGTTTTGATGAAACTTTAGAAAATGCGCCTAAACATCAGCCGTCTCCGTTCAGCTCGAAACGTATTATTCATGAATCTGATACGCCTCATTCCAAACCACATTCACAGGGTGATAAGGATGACTCAGAGCAAAGGTTTAGTTTAAAGTTGAATTGATATTTTTTAACTTCTTGAAAAATAATTTTCAAGATTTACATTTAATCTCATTACATCTAATCTCATTATTTTAATAGAGAAGGCGAAGAGTTGATCATACCAGGAAATCGAGAAGAAATGTTAGAATTTATAGATGAAGGCATTCGCAGTTCTAGAATACAAATAGAAATCAATTTTCCATGTGTTTCCGTCCAAATACCATCTAAACATCTGTATGAATTGTTATATAATAGATTCAACACTGATCTTTTTTTATGGAAACCATCAGCGCCAAGACCAAAGTATGGTACACATATGGAAAATCATATAGGTCTTGATTTGGCATCTACTTTGTTACAAGAATCTGTTTATCCTAGGTAAATAATATTAAAATCAAATAATATAATATTTTTTTATTTTATTAAAAAGATTTTTTGTTTTAAGATTTAGCACATGTAAAAGTCGGGTTCAATATGATTCTGATTCAGACTCAGAGGAGGGTATATTTCATTCTGCAGCTGATAAAAGTTACAGGCAACATCAAAGTAAAATATCAAAGAATGGTCAGAGCAATTTAGCACTATTTTTGAATATAGATCAAGGTCTTCTCTGCATGTATACTCCTGCTCGTGATTCTGTAAAAAACGTTATACCCGGACAACAAGGCGAATTAATAATTCGATTAGATGATGCAACTATATTTTCTGTAACCGCATACAAAGGAAATTCAAATTTGAGTTATGTCTGCGCTATGATAAAAGAAATGTCTTTGGATCATTGTGGATTAATGACGACACCTTCACAACCACCTTCATTGAGACCTATTAATAGTGACATTCCCAAACATTGTCAGCATTCTATATATAAAAGTGATCTAAATGTAATGGGAGCAAACAATAATGATGATATGGTATTACTCGCTATTAGAATACAAGCTGCTCATCAAACGCACCGTATTAAAGTTTGTTTTTTAAAAATTTCAAATAAAAATATTATGCTATCATTTAATTAAATAATTGTCAATTATTTTGAAATAGACTTTCAGAGTGGCAGTGGGCATATCAAATGCTACATTGAGGCATAGAATGTTTAACACTGGTACATCATGGTTTACGCAATTAACAGATTGTTTGGATGTAGCCGATCATCCAGTTGCTGGATATTCTGCGCCAGGAATATTAACGGAATTACATTTACATCTTTGGGATTGTGCAGTTGATTATAGGTTCTTATTTTTTTTAAATATTACTTATGAAATACAATAATATAATAAAAAATTTATATCATTTCAGACCAATTCATTTACCATTGAGATCGATGGTAACTCTTGGTAATTTTAGTGTTTCTAGTAATATTGCAGCGCATACAAATACTTCGACATTACGTTTTATAGCAGAAGATATTGCCTTGTTCATATCTAATAAATTAGGAAAAAATGTAGATTTAAAACGGGATTTTGTATGTGTAATGGATGTAGGATTGTTCGAATTATCATTAAGATTGAACGATAAGATGTGCGGCGGTGCACCTAGAGTTGATTTAAGGGCAAGCAACAATGTATTGCATGTTCGAACATGTTCCGATTCTGGACGTGCTCTTATTCAGTTGTTAACATACTTTGCTAATGATGGAGATCTTTCGTCAAGCATAGAAACTACCGGAAACATTACGGTACCAAGTTCTGGCGATGAAGAAAGTCTTCTTGGTGATGAGTGTGTTAATACTTTGAGTAAAAGTCAAGTTGAACGTGTTAATAATTTAATGAAAGAAGCAATGGAAGAAACAGTAAAAGGTAATATTAAATAATATAAGAGATTTAAAATATCCAAATAAATGTCAATTATGAATAATTGATACAATTACATGACACAGGAACATCTTCAAATATAGACGGCAATACATTAGTAACTGAAAATCAAGTAGAAGTTTTTTTCTTTCCCGACGAATCTTGTCCTGCTTCACAGGCAGTACCTGAAATGTATAAAAATCCTGAGCAGTGTACAAAAACAGAATGTGATACAGAAGCTGAGGATTCAAACGAAGATTTTTGTATATTAGGAGAAGAAGCGGGTACAGGAATTATGCCTAGGCATGGTGTACCAGAAATTCGTTGGCTTTGTCAAGAATCATTAAGGATAATAGATAATCATTTCTCAGTTCCACTTGGCAAAACTGATTTACTTAAAGCACCAAGACATTTTCCTGCTCCAATTTTAAGGTACACTCTTTGTGAAATGACTTTAATCTGGCATATGTATGGAGGAAAAGATTTCGAAGCACCAATAACATCCAAAAAACAAGTCATTATTAATGACAATACAATTCGTCCTATCATCGCACCTCAGGATAAGTACGTTTTATTGTATGTAAGTCAAACATTTTATATGAATAATTTATATGAAATTACATTATATATTGTTTATGTTTACAGAACCAGATCACCATGGTGGGATGGTGTAACTTTCAATAAATCCAATTCAAATGAAATACATTTTGGAAGTGCACCAAATTCACCACGTGAAAAATGTAAAGAAATAACAGATTGGCAAGTAATGGGAGGTCCTGGTCGTCGCCATGATATCTTAATGGAGCTTCAATTAAATAAAGTGCGCTTTCAACACGAAGTCTATCCAGAAAATACAACAGAAGCAGCAAGACAAATATTATTAGTAAACGAAATAGAAATTAGAGACAGATTAGCATCTTCGCACATTAACAAATTCTTGTATCAATATAGTAGTGAAGCGAGACCAAAACAGTCTCATGCAAATATGTTTGCCATGAAAGCGGTCCATGTTAGACCAGATCCAAGATTAAGTGCTCAAGAATGTTGTTTAAAACTCAGTCTACTGCCGTTACGATTAAATATAGATCAGGATAGCCTATTGTTTTTGATAGAATTCTTCAATGAATTGGGTAATGGTACGAAACACGCTCAAGAGAACTGTAATGTACCTAATAATCCACAATCCTCTCCAGTATCCAAGCAAGGAACACCAACGCATCATCCACCAGTTATGAGTGTGAACGAGTCCACGCCTAATGCATCAATGCCAACGAATACATCGCAGAATGATACCATAGATCCGAATTTATTAATACTCTTGGAAGACGAATTGATGATTAAAGAAAATACTGTGAAAGCGAAATCGACGCATGAAGTACATGAAGATTGTCAACCAATATATTTTAGGTAAATTAATTATTTAAGTGTAATATAAATAAACTTATAAATAATATTCAAATAATAAATATAAAGCAAAATATTCTATATATTATAAACAATATAATATTCTATTAATATATCGTATATAAAAATTTGATTTATTTAATTTATTTAGGAGTGTGATATTTTCTCCTGAAGTCCTTGTTAGATTAGATTATCATGGAAAACGTGTAGATTTGACTCATGGGCCGTTAGCAGGACTTCTAATGGGTTTAGCGCAATTGAATTGCTCCGAATTAAGACTGAAAAGATTAACACATCGACATGGACTTCTAGGATTTGATAAACTAGTAACATTTTTACTTTCTGAATGGTTACAAGATATAAAGAAAAATCAACTTCCAAGTTTACTTGGTGGCGTAGGTCCTATGCATTCATTAGTTCAATTATGTAAGTTTATATTTTATTAAAATATATTGTTTTGTATATTATATTGTAATGAAATGATTTGCTTGTTGTTACAGTTCAAGGAATAAGAGATTTATTCTGGTTACCTATTGAACAGTATCAAAAAGATGGTAGAATTATTAGAGGACTACAACGAGGTGCAAATAGTTTTACGACGTCTACTGCTATGGCAGCCTTGGAACTGACTTCTAGATTGATACATGCTATACAAAGTACAGCTGAAACAGCTTATGATATGGTCAGTCCTGGACCTAGCGTAAGGCATAAACACAAAGGACAAAAAGGACGTCGGAAAAGATATAGTCAACCATTGGACATTCGAGAAGGAATGGCTAATGCATATATGCTAGTAAAAGAAGTAAAGTATCGCATATATTTGAAACTATAAAAAATTTTGCATATTTTATATTATCAAATTAATTATATATAATTAATTTCGAATGTGTTTTTCAGGGTTTAGGAGAAACAGCTAATCAATTGGTTCGTGTAGCCAGTGAAGAACATGAGCAAAAAGGAGTCTCCGGTGCCGTAGGAGGTGTATTACGACAAATACCGCCAACAGTTGTGAAGCCAATTATTTTAGCTACAGAAGCGACTAGTAATGTTTTAGGTGGTATGCAATCACAATTAGTACCCGATGCCCGACGAGAAGCAGCTCAAAAATGGCGTCAAGATTCGACTGACACAAATTGAAGTTATTTCTTAAGTAATGGTATGGTTCGATGTTTCAATCGACTTTTGTATAACACAAATCCATGACGTAATTTATGATGATAATTTAAAAAAGATATACAGAAGAAGTTCTTTCTTCAAGTTAGAAGATTTATAATGAGCGAAAGAATTGATTCAATGATGAACATGAATGTTAAAAAATTTTTTAGACCTAATCGCATAAATTTTTTGAAAAGCTAAAAAAATCACTTTTAAATGATATAATATATTCGTGTAATTATATGTTTCAGTTCCATTGCTCTTGTTACATACGAAAAGATCGATCCAATTTGCTATATTTATAGTTTATAAATAAAATATATATACCATCGTGAACATTGTCTTCACAGCTTGTATGTATTTTTGTTTAAATAACGCGTATGTTTTATACCAATGATATGTATGTGACAATTTTTATTAATAAAATTATGACGCTTATTATTGCATGCCACTTTTTGTATAAAATGCAATTTATTGCTATAATATACATATTCTGAATATCTAAAGATTTAAATACGTTTAAGTTGAAGATAAGCTTACCTATTGTCGATACATTGTTCATAACTGAAATGTCCATTGTTTACGGTCCTTTTTACAGATGTCATAATGAGGAATTCTTGTAAATATACGCCCTCTTGAATCACAGAGAAAAATTGTAAAAAATGTGCAATAAGTTATATAGATTATATACGATTTTATTAATTTATCATATTATTCAATATAGATAATATGATAAAAAGGTTATGACTGATATGTTCATTATATTCTTACGCAATTTAACAGGTACGGAATATGCTGCCGCCTATCGAGCATTTTAGAAACTATCATATTTAAGAAACACCTTGTTTTCTTAAGTTACCATGACAATAAACAGTTTTCCTAGTAATTTAAATTGTGACATTCTTAGATACAAGTAAACACTTAACCAGTTAAAGTTATTAACCTTATTTTTGTTGTAAATCAACTAAAAATGGAAGAAGATGAAAAGACTGCATTTGAAAGTTATGAAAGTATATCAACTATTACTTCTGTGGAAGAAGAAGAGTATAAATTAGAAGAAAAATTAACGAAAGATGATATTCTTAAAATAACAAAAGAACTTATAGAAAACGTACAACAAGAACTATGTTTGATCAAGTTATGCTGGCCAGAAATTGATTACACAAAAGATCTTTACCTAAGAAGACTTCCAAGTAGTTATTGTACCCTCAGTGATAAAGAAAAGTTGCTTGCATGGTATGCCGAAAATTTTCGACAACAATTTCACGTAAAATATCCAAAAAGAAAACCATTATTATTAGTATGTGAAAATGAATGTGGTATACAAGTAAGTATATTATAAAATTAAAAAATTAATAATAGGATAGTAATAAAGCTTTCCAATTCAAATCTAATGATATCTCCGATTCCATCCTTCTTGTCTCTAGTTAATTATATTAAAGATAATGTTTAATATTATAAATTATGCAATTGGATTAAAGTGTGGATCATGGTTTTTATGAAAATTTCAATTGTTTAAATAATTCTTTTTTTATTTATTATCCGCTTCGTTAAAATTAATAATTTTTTAAGTATTAAATTAAAGATTAATCGAGAGACTCGATTGTTATTTACGATTTATCGATTCTTTTCATCTACAATAAATTTTCAATATTAGCTTATTTATTCAAGACTCTTCCGCGCAATCGAACTAAAAAACGCAAAAATCATTCATTTTAATCATGACAAATTGATATTCGTCATTGGTGTAATTTTTGGTGCTACTCTCATAACATGATGATCTCAAGTTAACATGATGTTCTTTAACTTTTGGATATTTGAAGATGGCGAATAACAGCAATGTATAGGAAATTAGTTTACGTTTCTTATTAACGTTTCTCAAAATCAACGCATAATTGTAAACTCATAATAGCTTAAAAGATTCTCCAATATTTATATATAACATCATATATATTTACATTACACACTTTCTGCATATTACAACACGTGTTTCGTTATTATTTTCTTTTTTATCTAAATAATTAACTTTTATACAAACGAAACAACGGTCGTAAAAAATATAGTCGATACTAAAAAAGAAATGATCCGATTTCGCAATCCATCTGCAACGAAGTATTCTTCGAAACAGAATCAATATTCTTACATTTAGTATCTTTCAATGAAGAAAATATCATTTCTCGTTACTTGTGATTTTCTTTTCGATTTTCAAAAAAAAGAATAAATTAAGAAATTATGCGAATATCTTGATATTTTGTTTCCTTTTTCTAGTTTATTCTTTTAATAAATACTTCTCTCGATTTATTGTATAAAGACATTATTTTTCGTATAAAAATTAAAATATGTTATAAAAAAAATTATCAGTTATTCAAAATTTAAATTGTTCAAAGTATTTTATATGTAACGAGGAATGTCATTCTTGATAGACTAAGATTCTCATTATCATTATTTTTTCTTATTCGTTTGTTCTTCATTTAATGCAACTATAATGGAAATATAACTGTATAATAGGAATCTTTCTAATATACCCGAAAAAATTTCCTTTTCTACAATCTAAATAATAAAAATAAACTTCGCTATACATTTATTCATACATGCTTCAAATGTTCTACAATATATGTTATGCACTTTGCGTGCAAGTGCACGGTCACAGTCTTATTTACACGTACCATCATTTGACAGTACTTTCTTCACTTTGGTTTTTCTGTCAGTTTTTATAAATATACATTGCTAACTGCAAGATTATTTCCTTTCAGTGTACCTAACGTTTCGCGCGTTACGTGAACACGATAGGAACAATCATTATATGAA